TAAGATAACACAGTTCTACAAGTGGAATATAATATATCCTGACTTAACATTGTTGATAGGTTCTGTCACTTTGCGTGAAACAATGTATAACAAAACCAATTTTACCATTGGCTTATTGATATAACTAAGAGTTAATGTCCTATGACATCCCATCAATATTAAAACAAAATTTCATGTAACGAAATGACATTATTTGAATTCCTAGTGTAATTATAATAAAAATCCATGTCTTTCATACCCAGGCTCAGCCTATATCATTCTCTGTCTGTGGTCCTTCCTCTAGGAGTAGCTTTCGTACTTTCACTTGGCCTTCTTTGGTTTGGGACTTTCTATAGGGTTTCTTAAACACAAAGTCCTTATTATAATTGTAAACTTTTCCACTTCCTATTCTCTTACCTGGAGTTCCTAAAAGAAATCTTTTAAACTCTAGACCAGTGTTTTTCAACCTTTTTTGGGCAAAGGCACACTTGTTTCATGAAAAAAATCACGAGGCACACCACCATTAGAAAATGTTAAAAAATTTAACTCTGTGCCTATATTGACTATATATAAAGTAATTCTCTTGAATAGGAATCAAATAAACACAAAGAAAGTATTTTATAATTACTTTATTATGAAATATTAAGTAAACAAAATAGTGAAAAATTATAAAATTCTTGTCTTGTCTGCACCTACGGCACACCAGGCAACATCTCGCGGCACACTAGTGTGCCGCGGAACAGCGGTTGAAAAACGCTGCTCTAGACCCTGGGAAGGGGTTGGACATGAAGCTAAATAAGCATTTATTGATTCAGGAAATAAACTATTTATGTAAAAGTCTCTGGGTAATCACTCAAGGTGTTATAGAATTGCTGATTGTGGGACGTTTGTTGTTAAATAGTGAATAGTGAAAAGAGCTGGCTTCCTAGAATAATTCAGTTATCACTAAAGGAAAAGTCAAGGCAAAGACAATAAAAGGGTTCTGAAAGGCCAGCTTAGTTATGCTAGATAACTCAAGTGAAGTCTTTAAGTTAGAGTGCTTTGCTGTCATAGTAACCTGCTTGCCAGTTAAGGAAAGTACTCCTACCATCGTTCCATAGTTCAAGAGTCCCAAATAAAATTTAGAGAATGAAAGAATAAAGGGGAAAGAATGTTTGTACTGAATTATTTTGCTTTCTTAGTCTCCTTCCTTATAATACGATCTCAAAATCCAATGGGGCACTTCCCACCACCCAGCAACAGCTAAATTTTCTCTTAAAATAGAATTCATCATCACATAATTTCTTTGCTTGAACTTTCTCAGTGGTCTTTCATCTTACAGTAAAATGAAAAATTCACAAAATGAATAACATGATTCTCTGGGATTGGCCTTGGTCCATCTCTGACCACATCTCTTACTACTCTCTTTCTGCACCTTCGTTCCAACCACATGTTCCCCAGGCTCCTCTTTGAACATATCTAGAATGTTCTGATTTCAAGGTGTTGGCAGATATTTTTTTTCTCTGCCAGAAAATTCTTCTCCCCAAAGGATAGGTTCTTCTACTTTTTATTTTCAAAAATCTTTTTAAATCTTTTTAAATTCAGAAATATTTACCCATGTTCCACCTTAAAAAAAAATATACCAGTGTGGCTCAGTGGTTGAGCATATACCTATGAACCAAGAGGGAAGGATTCAATTCCTTAACAGAGTATATGCCTGGGTTGTAGACTCCATCCCCAGTGTATATTCCATCCCCAGTGTAGACTCCATCTCTCTCATCATTGATGTTTCTATCTCTCCCTCTCCCTTCCTCTTTGAAATCAATAAAAATGTATTTTTAAAATATATTTTTAAAATAAATATTTAAAAAATATATTTAAAAAAAACTCTATGAAAAAAAAGCAATATCACCTCCCACCTTCTCATGCCCCAATTCTATAAACCAAGCTTTAAGTTTTTTTCTGATCCTTATTCACACCTAACATTATAAATACATGCATACATATTTAAATATACATGAGCAAATACATATATTCATTTTTAGGCTTAAAAATGGACTTGTCTCTATCTTTAAAATTTTTAAGTCATAACAGGCAGAGAACATACAATAACTATTTACAACTCTAAAGATTTTTAAGTTAACTGTTCCCAGCAAAATTAGGAAGGAAATGTAAAACGGCACATGTTTTATTTGGACAGTGAATAAATGAAAAGGTAAAGAGAGCTTTACATACACTCTCCTCATTCCCCTGCCTTTTATGAGGAAAATCAGAAGATTTACAAACAATTGCATAAGGCAGTGGCTACTAATTATAGCAAAACTGAGTCTGGAATCCACTTCCTCATTTCAGCTCAATATGTTGATTCTTACATAGGTACTTTTGTCCTAAAGTTTCTCGGCACAAAATATTCCAGACACAGCTTCCCTCCGACAATATCATACAAATTAATATGCATTTATTTCAACATTTTAATAAGTATCACACCTAAGAAATCACTATATATGTGAAGTCATATCTTTATTATTTCTAAAATATAGTAATAGCTATCATTGTTGCTTTGTTTGAACATGCACTTGGGGCCAGGAGAAACTTTAGCTCAGTTTCTCTATTCTTCACAAGCTAGCAGGGTAGGTTTTAGTAGGCCCATTGTTCAAGTGAGGAAAATGAAATCAATGAGCCACAGCACATGACCAGGATCACACCCAACCTAACAAGGGCCATGGCCCTCTGTAGATAACAAGGAGGGACTCTACAACCACTGCTGTAGTTCAGCTTATCTGTTTATGGGAAATTTTCCATGACCATGGTTGTGAGTGGGATTCCAAGTCAATCTCTGCCACTCCGGAGAAACAAGGTGACAGTGACAATGTCTGTTGGAATGCATTGTTAGGAAAGAAATATGTCTCTGTTCACTTAATTAGGACCAAAAATAGATCAAGCCTGGCCACAGAGGATGAAAAGAAAAGCACCCATCCGACATGTAAAAATTGGATAATCTCTACACCAGAAATGCAAAGAGGGAGGAACAAAACACAATATGAAAATGAGACATTTGCATTTGTTTTTCTCCGTTTGCTAAGAACAAGCATCTTAGGAAGCTTTACAATTATAATTAGCTATTGTGCATTCTCTGGCTGTGAGATGGCATGAAAAGAAAACATTTAAAAGCAAGAGAAAAGCCCATTGTAAGGGCTTAGAAAGTAAAAAGTGAGTCTTTTAATTTTTCTTTCATCAGATGTTAATTTATGCAGAATCTAATAACATATTTGTGGCTCTGAGCTGCCCATTTTGGAGAAGATTTCTCTCTCCACCAGGCTTTCCTGTCATCCCTGCTCCTTAGAACCATCATCTCTGGGTTTCTGACACTTTTTGCCAAAGAAAGGCAGCAGGCTGAGAAGTTCACATTCTATCGGCACTCTTAATTGCACAGCCTCTGAAAACCTATGATATTAACTGTTCTGACTCCTTTCTAGCTTGTTAGAAACAAAACAGCAAAAATTGAAGGAAGGGGAGAGAGGAAATTGATGATGGGTGCATAGGTGGATGGAAAGGGAAGAGTATTCACTGCCGAGGGGAAAAAAATGTCAGGGGACAGAGAGGTTCCATAAAAGACACATGGTTTATTTTTATATCCAAGCAGGGTATAATTAAATTACTGTGTCTCTTATAAATGGAAAACCAAATTCCACTGCTGCCAAACCACCTAGGGAATAGAGACAATAGCGCTTGACGAAATGCAGAATCTTCAGAAGTTGATGTTTTAAATGAATCCGCTGTAAATCAAGTACATCCTATAATGACAGCTTAAAGGTCTACTTCATAAAAATGTTATTAAAGTATATTATTTATACCTGCTTTTTGTGGACTCCTGCTCTTATTTATAACGCTCACAGTGTATGGTCATAATCACAGGCAGAATGCATAATGGAAGCATTAATTCAATAGGAACTGAGGCAGTAATATGGGGTCTCCCCAATAAAACCCCAGATATATTCACTTAAAGGTAGAGTTTATTGCCCAAGAGCATTCTCTTAAAAAAAAAAAATGAAAAGAATGTCTTCCGTCTTATGGCCTCAAACATCTACTTTTATTCCAAAGTCACTATAAGAATGACTAATTATCACAAACTTTTAGGTGGAATATTCATTCATCTACATGATGAAACAGAGATGTGGGTCCTGAGTTGTGATGTTATGGTGACCAGGGCATGGGTTTTTGATACAGGAAAAGCGTATGGATAAGTGTTCTGTATGTTAATTAACCCTTTTCTGGTACCTGCCATCAGAGGGTGGTGCTTAGCAAATGCTAGTCCAAGAATCTGGCACATGTGTTTATTTTAGTAAGATGGAAAATGCCTTGACAACATAACCTTTTTCCCAGAGAAGCTGAAAGCAATACTGCTTAAATCAAGAGAATCTTTATTCAGGATTTTAAACACCATTTCCATATTTCATATGTATGAAGCTCTAAGGAATGGCAGTACATTTTAATTGGTTTATTTCTAACTCTGGAACTACCCGAATTTGACTTCTTGGCTTTCGCCTTCTGATCGGATGCCCTGACGACTTGGACAGAGTGTGAACATGTGTCTGTAGGAGTCAAGAAACGTTCTTTATAAATTATACTTCTCCACTGAAAGAAAGTGTTGTCTTTGATCTTTTCAGTTAAAAAAAAAAGCGGGGGGAGGGGGAGAGACACCAAAGGGAATGAATTAAAATTCCAGTGTTTAATAAGATGCAGTCATTAGTAGGCAGCTTAAGCATTCGCGTCAGAACTGCTCCTGAAATTTCTTCAGCATAGCAATAATCTCACACTAGTTCTGGGTAACGGAAATCTAGGGATGCTTAGCATCTGTACTTGAGAGGCAAATGCCAAAAGAGAAAAATATTTCAACTGTAAGGTGAATCATGCTACTAATTGAAGATAAAAATCAATTTCTTGCCGACATGCACCACCTCCAACCTAAGAGAACTGAGTATTCCGTTTTCTCAACTCTGACACTGCGGCAGAGCTTTGTTATTTGAAATGAGTGCACTTACCAGGAAAACGTCCAGGGATGTCCAGTTGTCCCATGGCTGTGGCTGGGCATTTGAAGTTTCATCGGCCCCCCAGAACAAGGCTACCTCAGATCTCTGAGACGGAAATCTTTCTTGAAGTCTGCAGGGATCACATACTGCTCTATGCAGTGTCTACACTCACTGCAACCTCTGGGTGCAGAAAAGGGCCTGAGCACCCTTGCTGATGCAACCACCCAGCGAGGGCAGAGGAAGTTATGTCCCCAGCACGCTGCCAGCTAAGTGTCACCGGCTCCAAATGCCTCTGACAAGAGGCAGATCTGGAAAACAGTTAACCCAAACGAGGCATCGCTAATGGCTTGGTTTATTTTTCCTAATGAAACTGGACATAGGAAAGGCAGCAAAAGTGATTCCTCAGAAAAATGTGTTGTAATTTCATGTATTACTATTTCACTTTAGACCCTCGACAATTGTTTAGCTCGGGAAGCTCAAGGTATCTTGTTATTAGCTAGCTGTAAGCAGTATTAGCGGCCTGCAGATTTATGCATTTGCTATGAACCAGGCCCTGCGCCTAGTGCTTTGTAAACATTACCTAACTTTGAGCAAGGTGTTGTTATCTTACAAATGAGGAAAACAAGGCTCAGTGAGATTAAATCACTTGCTCTAAGTCACAAAGCTATCTGGAGGCAGAATTGACGGAACAGTAATCCTTCATTCCAATCTCAGCTCTTCTCTCGCACTAAATTGTAAAGAAACTATTTTTATTTTATTTTTTATTTTTATTTTTTTAATATATTTTATTGATTTTTCCCCTCTCCTTCCCTCCCACACATCCCCTCCCTCCCCAGAGTTTTGTGTCCATTGGTTGTACTTAAATGCATGTATAAAAGTCCTTCGGTTGATCTATTATCTCTCCCAGATCTTCCTCCCCTCCCCGCTGTAATTTGACAATCTACTTGTTGATATACTGTCTCTATATCTATCTTTTGGTTCATCAGTTTATAATGTTCTTTATCATCCACAAATGAGTGAGGTCATGTGGTGTTTCTCTTTCATTGATTGGCTTATTTCACTCAGCATGATGTTCTCCAATTCCATCCAGGTTGCTGCAAATGATGAGAATTCCTTCTTTTGTATGGCAGCATAGTATTCCATTGTGTAGATAGACCATAGTTTTTGGATCCAATCATCTGCTGACGGGCACCTAGGCTCTTTCCAAATTCTGGCTATTGTAGATTGTGCTGCTATGAACATAGGGGTGCATATATCCTTTCTGATTGGTGTTTCTACTTTCTTGGGATATATTCCTAGAAGTGGGATTAGTGGGTCAAATGGGAGTTCCATTTTCAGTTTTTTGAGGAAACTCCACACTGTTCTCCACAGTGGTTGCAATAGTCTGCATTCCCACCAGCAGTGCACGAGGGTTCCTTTTTCTCCGCAACCTCGCCAATACTTGTCATTTGTTGACTTGTTGATGTTGACCATTCTGACAGGTGTGAGATGGTACCACATTGTTGTTTTGATTTGCATCTATCGGACAATTAGTGACTTTGAGCATGTTTTCATGTGCCTTTTGGCCTTCCTTCTGTCTTCTTTTGAAAATGTTCTATTTAGGTCCATTGCCCATTTTTTAATTGGATTATTCATTTTCCTTTTATTTAGTTGTATAAGCTGTTTGTAGATGTTAGAGATTAAACCTTTATCAGTGCTATCATTTGCAAATATGTTCTCCCACACAGTGGGCTTTCTTGTTGTTTTGTTGATGGTTTCTTTTGCTGTAAAAAAGCTTTTTATTTTGATGTAGTCCCATTTGTTTATTTTCTCTTTAGCTTCCATTGCCCTAGGGGTAGTATCAGTGAAGAAGTTCTTTTGGCATACGTCTGAGATTTTGCTGCCTGTGGATGCTTCTAGTATTTTTATGGTTTCCCGTCTGATGTTTAAGTCCTGTATCCATTTTGAGTTTATTTTTGTGAATGGTGTAAGTTGGTAATCTAGTTTCATTCTTTTGCAAGTGTCTGTCCAATTTTCCCAACACCATTTATTGAAGAAACTGTCTTGACTCCATTGTATATTCGTGCCTTCTTTGTCAAATATTAATTGAGCATAGTGATTTGGGTTGATATCTGGGTTCTCGATTCGATTCCATTGATCTATATGTCTGTTCTTGTGCCAGTACCAGGCTGTTTTGAGAACAGTGGCTTTGTAACATAGTTTGAAGTCTGGTATTGAGATCCCTCCTACTTTACTCTTCTTTCTCAGGATTGCTGTGGCTATTCGAGGTCTTTTATTGTTCCAAATGAACTTTTGTAGAGTTCTTTCTAGGTCAGTGAAATATGTCGTTGGTATTTTAATGGGGAGTGCATTGAACCTATAGATTGCTTTAGGAAGTATGGACATTTTGATGATGTTGATTCTACCATTCCATGAACATGGTATGTTCTTCCATCTCCTTACATCTTCCTCTATCTCTTTTAAGAAACTATTGTATTTTTAATTTCTTCTCTAGAAAAAGAAGGGGAAAAGAAGAAAGCTGAGAAGAAAGTGACTTCTGAAACAAAAAAGAAAGGTAAGAAATTTAAAAACAGTCCAATACATAAATCGATTAGTATTCATTTATAATGCTGACAAAGCTATTGTTTTTTTTTTAGGAAACAAATTCCTTAATATTTCATTTTTGTTATCAACAAACACACTTGAGACTTCTAAATATTCCAAATATAGTTGAAATTGATAAACCTTTTTAAAAGAAAATTTAAACTTAAACACATTTTTAAAACTCTTACTGATCTCCCCCACCTTCTGTTTTAGGAATAACAATTCAATTCTAATTCAGTTTTTTTACCTGATACTTTATGTAAATATGACTACTATTTAATCCATTCTGTTTAATAGAAACTGACTTTCAAAGGAGCACATTATTGACCATGTAGGGAGGATGCTGGTTGATTAGTTTGCTATGTTTTGTTCTTTTTAGATTGCTTCGGTTTGTTTTCATATAGTGCGTCTGAGGTCCCAAGTGAGCCTCAGCCATTTCTGACTTTCTGGCCTGTTTCCAGGGGCCTGGTAGCCCGGGGAACATTCAGTATATTCCTTTTTAAATTCTTTGGGGAAACTATCGAAGCATACCATATTTTTAATTAGTAATGCTTTTTAATATTTCTACTGTCATGACAGATTTTGTTGACCTTAGCAAAAATGTGCTCCCTTCCTGAAGAGAAAGCACACCAAAGACACTATTCTGTTATGAGAATGCCAGTTCATTCATATTTGACATGACTTATGGCTCTGACTTACAAGATGAATGAGATGTACCTTATCGGTAGTCATATGTGCCCCCATACATAAAAATTATACAAGAAGAGGCTTTTAATTTTCTCATTTTACTACCAGACAAAGAAGATGGCAAAAAGAAAACTGACATGAAAAAAAAAGGTATTGTACTTCCTCTGTTTCCTTCCTCATATTATGTTCAGGGATGTTTGCTTCATGATATTTGAATCTTTGGGCAAAGTAAGCAAATTGGATATAGATTCTTAAATTTATCCATGTACAGATAAAAATTACACTATACAAAGTTATACAGGCAAGGAAGACTTTATTCAAAACTATTGCCAATAGGGGCAAGAGACCAAATCTTATGCTGAACTCAATTTCACTGAAACAAAAAACAGGCGAGGTTTTGAGAGCTGAAATGGGATGGGGGTCATTGAAGGCCATCTGAGTTTGCTAATTGGCTTTGCTCAAAGTAAAAGTAAACTTCCCCTTATCTTCATGAGAGGAATGTAGTGTTACAACTAGGAGCAAAGCACCCAAAAGAGTTAGGTTCTTACCCTCCCGCAAAAACTGGGAAATAGAGGTGCTATCTTTCTTCATGATTACACTTCAGGGGAATGACTTCAGGTCCCTGAGAAACTCATTCCTGGGTGGTAAAACTGGAAAGGTGATTTTTAGGAAAGATTTATATCTCAAAGGAACAAATAAAGAATTTAAAAGTATAACTTCCCTTCATTAAGTGCTCCAACACAAGGGAGGTCAGCGGTCTAAGGTCAGGACCAAGCCTGTCTTCGGGATCGAGCTGAGGGGAACCGTAGGCCACCTCGGTGAAGACATAATGAAATTGAGAAGAGCTGCATAGAATAATGATGCCACTTAGAAAAAAATAATAAACTGAACGATAATAATGCATCCCATTAAAAAATAGGGCCATTCAACAGCTTCAGATTTTTGCTTTAAATTTAGTTCTACTTTGATTATTGTTAAAACATGAATATTTCTTCTATCCAGGTTCAATTTAAGTCTAGATAGTAAAAAAAAATAAAATAAAAAAAATAAAATGTAGTTATCTCAAGTATTATGGTTTGATGATAAGTGTTCTTACCCCAAATATTACTTCCACTAGTGTCAGTGATGCTTGAAATTCCACCATTAGAGATCTTCCATTCCTTTGAGTAATGAAGAAATTGTCCTCTATTAAAATGCAAATATCTTAGGGGGACAACAGACTAATTCCTCTCCCCGCTATTAACACTTAAAGTGAATGAGATTTCCAGATCTTCCCTGTATATTAATAAGCGGAAAACAATGCCCTAGAAAATGAGTCAGTAGGTAAGTTTTTATGAGGGTGCTGTTGAGGGAAAATTTCAAGAGAAGGCATTGTCTGGGGAGAGCAGCCAGGCTGCTGGCACTAGTGAAAAACCTTCACTTCTTAGATTGCAGTGGCATAGGTGAAGGAAAAAGCCAGGGGGAAAGGACCTTGAAAGAGGAGATTTATAAGATGCCAAACTGGACATTGGCCAGTCTATTAGTACCAAATAGGAATTTCAAAAAATCTCTGACATCATGCTAGCAGTGGGATTAAAAAACAAAACAAAACAAAATAAAAAAACACCATAAAACAATGAGTTGCATGATTGTGTGCCTCATGAAAAGCCCAGTGAGAGACAGGCAGGTGTTTTGCAGATCTGGGAGTTGATTGACATTTGCTTTGCATTTGAATTTTTATTATCAAAGATGTTATTGTAGAATCTATTGCATTCTTGAACATTTACTCATTTTGTTTTATCAAAAACGTAATTTCCCTGAAGAAAG